TTCAAGGAATTCAAAAGCATAAGTCGCCGCAACTATTTCTATTGATTTGATTATAGAAAGTTTTTTTCGGGCAAGCCCTTCTTCAGCTAATTAGTGATTAGTTGAAGAGGGATTGCTCCAAAACTTTCTTCAATCAAACCAATATAGTTGCGGCGTCTATGAGGGAAGTTTCGTGGGTCACATCAATATTTGAATGTGTTCATTTCACGTAAGAGCACCGATATATACCTAGAAATTCACGGAAATCATAGAAATTTGAAATATCTCTCTTAATTAAAAATTGGCAACTTTAAAGTAATTATACCATGATACCAATGATACCATGACAAAATGAGCTTTGGCATAAAAATCAGAAATATATATCTCTTTAGTCATGATTGTCAGCTTATCTAGAAGAAAGAAGCTTGTTATTGAATCAAAGAGAGATTGGGCGCTTCATAGCCTTTCTCGAATACTCTCTTTAAAAAGACAACATGAAACATCAACCTGTATTTGATCTTAGGGAGCCTTAAACAGCATCAGCTCCTATGTCACATTATGGAAAGTGCCTCACTTGACGTACCATGATGACCAACCTCTGTATCCAGCGCGCCATTGAACTGTACCTGCAGTCGACCATGCAAACGACGAGTGAAGGTGTATCCCCGGGGTCCGTCTCCAATTCGAGATGTTTGTGTTGGGTTATGAAGAGGCCCTCTGATTGTCCATTTTGCTGAAGGAAAACAAAATGGTCCATAAAAAGAAAGGATAAATATCCGTCAAAATAGACGCAAACTCGGACTCCTCACCTCATGGTTAACACCGGTCATTAGCGGCCGCTCGTAGACGCAACTCTGGCATGTGCCGCTGTTGAAGATCGATTTCGCGACCTGTCCTGCGTATGTGATCGCCCATGACGCGGCCTCTGTAACCTCACGACAGAGGACAAATGGTTTGACGATTCGACGGCGCGAGCGAGGAGGAAATATGCAGCGACCTATTTGAACGCGCTATGAAATCTTAGGTGTACTTTGTGGTTGGTTGTCTTAGTACTGGTACCCTCACTACTAATCCTTGCTAAAATACCTCATTATCAAACATTTTTTTAGTAACACATTTTTTTTTATCTTACTCAAAAGTTTTTGATTTTTATTTTTACAAAAACAAAATTCATCTTTTCCCAGAAGCTGTTGAATTATTCCCGTTTTATTTACTCTTCTTATCTAATCATCCGTATAATAAACCTAAAATACCGTGTAATAACTCTTTTATCTTCCCTGGGGCCTGGGGAATCTAACTTCTTTTGAACATCTTTGGTAGCGTGCAGGACCTTAGTACTTTTAACAGCACATTGCAGTTTGTCTGCTTGCTACGTTCACTTTTGAGCTCGAAAATCATTCAATTTGGTTAGTAGCCCGTAAAACCATATTTTTTATATCGCGATTTCAAGTACGCTAATTCGTGGATTTTATTAAGTTCTCAATTTTTTTTGTGTGTTTTCAGGAATCCTGTGAATCCACTAATTCTCTCCCATTTTTAAATCGTAAATACCATTCATATACGGCTGATTTTTTAAAATGATATTTACTAAAGGCTATTATCAATACATTTGAAGTTAGGAATATACAGACTTACCGTTTTGAAACAAAATTTCATACAAAGTCCATTAAACATCGAAGAGTCTACTTGAAGTGATATTTTAAAATTCTTTTTATTCACGTGCTACATGTGGAAAATCGTGTTGCTCAAGCTTCCTATTTATTAGATTTGGTGTTCGAATATTTTTATTATTCTTATTTTTCGAAAAATAATGGAACTTTCCGGGAAATTATTGGAAAGCCTTGTATTTCAATATTTTCACCTTGCCTAACTCGAAAATGAGGATGGCCGACCCCAGACAAAGGTGGGAGTCGGGTGGCCAATAGATGAGGGCGAAGGCCTCCTGGAAAACCGCCTTATGTGGCGGTAGGACCAGTAGAGATGCAAGATGATCACAAAAGCTGGAAAAGCTGTATGAGACAAGACGTACGAGCCAGACAGATTACTTGTACAACCAAAAAAATATATTATATACCATGGTTGTTCCATCCCTTTAAAAATCAACGACATTGTTGACACTTGATATTCAAATTACAAACAAAGGCCTGGGTTCAGAATTTGAATACATTTTAGATCACTAATCTCCTTCTGTGACCCCTTCTTTGATTTTGTTACAAGTCCAAACCCACCAGTAAGTGAAATAAACCAAATGAGGCTGTGGTATATTGTAAGTTCAAAAACACTCAGTGTGTTTATACACATTAATAAATAGGTGAACATACATTAAAAACAATGAAAAAATCCCTACCTACCATGATTGGCATGGCCATATTTAATTATGATTAACAAGCTCTTCAAGCTAGGAAAATGTATTAAATAATAGAAGATAACGGCAAATTAAACACATTTGGATAGGATTAAGAAATTTGCAAGAGCTGTAATTAAGAGATGGAGGCCCCTACCTGGAAGAGAAACAGCGATAAAATTTAACATAAAGTGACATACAAGATGGATGACACGAGGTTATATTCCCAGTACATCCTAGGTAATAAGGTAGAGTTTCTCCCGAGTATAAATTGATGCTGTGTAGGTCTCTCTCACAGAATATTCATAGAAAATGTTTAAAATGGACAACATTCGTAATTATCCAGCAAATGATTGTGCATCCATCACCTCGCTGTAAGAATGATAGCAGGTTGGTTATATAATAAAGCCCTATAATATTCCCAATAATTACATTCGCTGAATGCGATACATATGCTACATTATATCAGTGGCTAACTCCTGCTTCCCTATGTCATCGGACGTGGCTAATCAGCTTAACGCATGCGCATGACCAGTTCATTTTTTTAGTCATTGAGTGCACACACAAGGCAGTTGGCTTGCAAATTTTATCAATTCCATTCATGTGTTGTTATGTAAAAAGAAACGTTGTGCGGGTTTATAATTTAGGATTAGATGCCTTCAAATTTCTCTATCACCAATGCTACAGGAAAATTGTTGCGAAAATACACTAATTCTAAAAATAATTCTTAAAATAATTTATAGATGATGCGGGAAATGTACTTTAAGCTTTGGCAATTTCCTAATTATGAGATACGCCAATTATATTCGTAAAGTGCAATAAAGAACGAAATGCAAAGAAGGAGACTTTTATACGCAATTCATTTAAAAACTATTCTATATACAGTTACGAGCGTCATGCGTTCTTAATACTTCAGTTTTCATCTCTGTCACCGTTTGCTTTTTTTTTTTTTTGGAATGGCGCTCTCATATTGGTTGGCTACGATCACGCCACCTTTGCCCTCCCCCCCCCCCCCCCCCCCCCCCCCCACTCGCTTCTTCGTTTTTGTAACTATTGTGTTGGAGAGCGGGTAGCTCCTTAAATAAATGCATATATTAGTTAATAACTAAATGGAATCCTCTCTTTCATTTTCCCAGTAAGAGACGCCTATGGAAGCCAACAGTACATATACAGATAAAGCACATAGGCTATAGTTATTAACTAACATATGCATTTATTTAAGGCGCCAATTTATAATTGTAACAAATAGTATTTGAATCAAAACATTCAATCGGGTAAAACACGGGCGTTGCCCGGGTCATTCGGCTAGTATGTATATAAATGGGAAGTTTCTAGGAGGAAATGATATATAAAAGCTAAAGACTCTCCTCTCCCGTCAAGTTAAATGTCAGAACTAGACGCCAGGTTCTAGACGTTTAATTTGACGGGAGAGAAGCCATATGCTTTTATAAATATATATAATTCAGGAAATTTATATTTTATTCGATAATAAATGTGCTCTCTAAACCTAGACATGTACATGAAAGAAATGAGTGTTTGTTATTTACAAATGCTGTGATATATTCTCCGAGTTTATAGTTTAAAAGGGGTAAGCGGAGTACACGTCATCGATTTTCTATAATCACAGAGCGCGGGATCGAATCCCGCACTGAGTACTTTTTTTTTTCAAGTGCAATGCTCAACTCCACTAGCGAGTGAAAGTAACTAAAAATATTATATTACTTTATATTACGATGCACTAGCGCGCCATCTGTTATCAAATTACAAAACTATTTTAGACGCGTAATATTCTTTTTAAAATAAATCAATTTCTACTGCCCTTACTGCAATGCAAAAATTAAATTTAATTTTTTCATTGCAGTAAGGGCAGTATAAATTTTTTTATTTTAAAAAGAATATTACGCGTCTAAAATAGTTTTGTAATTTGATTATAGTACTTTGTGGGTACAAGTTGAAGGGGTTTCTAGATGTGTAAACATCTGGTTAACTTGCAGTGAAAAACAGTCTCTAACTACCAATATTTGAATATTTTTTCAAAATTATCCCTAATACACGTGGTACAGGCCATGATAATCATGGTGTGGGTAGGAAATCAAATTAAATTCAACATAAAGTTACGGAACGATGATAATCATGTCCAAAAAATAGGTACCAATACCTTTAATTATGCAATCAGAACGATACACTGTTTATCACCTTAGTAACCTATTGTTGTGGTTCATTCTTTATCATCAATAGTGAAGTGTTTTACTTGGCGGATAAACAGTGCATTGTTTGATGCATAATTAAAGGAAGAAGTGCCTCTTTTGGTACATAAAATAAAATGTACTCTAATAAATCCGTCCCCGTTATATCTCAAACCATTACCTTGGCGTGTTCTTAAGATATAAATTTATAAAACCTCTATAAAGGCGAATTTTTAAACAGGTTTAGAGAATTTGAGTTTGGATAATCACGTATGACAGGTTAATTCTCAAACTGAATCGAATTCAAAACAAAATATTATCAGGTTTATACTCAGCATGTACAACAGGCTATAGTTTATAATAAATGTACTTAACACACAAGAAAATTAAAATATACAAGTATCAGAGTCATCAATCAACAATTATTAATCAATTCTGTGAATGCTGCTTTTGTGAATGGAATAAATACCCAAATATGGCCATTTCTCATAACCATCGGTGGTTCAGTGGTAGAATGTTCGCCTGCCACGCGGGCGGCCCGGGTTCGATTCCTGGCCGAAGCATTTTTTTTTTTTTTACAATTTTTAAAACTCATTTATATATTATACAAGAATGACATCCACGGCGCCAATTTATAATTGTAACGAATAGTATTTGAATAAAAGCATTTAATCGGGTAAAATCCGGGCGTTGCCCGGGTCATTCGGCTAGTATTTAATAAACACATAGAATATTTGTAAAGCATCAAAACAAGAGATGTCCACAATCAATATGTTTCATTAAATACCACAGAACAATTCAAGGGAATCAGAAAGATAAAAAACCAACATTGACCTGACACCAACCGCTGTGGGTGACGACACAATTAGTGAGGTTGTTAAAGTGAAGATTCCGAGTTCAATCCGACGGCAGAATTGTCCCCCCGAGATGACTTTATTTGACAAAAATAATGTCCAAAGTTATCAGGACACATTCCTCAACAGGGGATTTTTCCGTCGGGACCGTGACGACAAATAGAAACTTCCCCTAGAATCCCTTAATAAAACATGAGGAGGGGAACTCTTAAATATTTATACCGAAATTTGTTGGCGCTCTGAATCGAGTTTATTATTAAGTTGTCTTTACTTTTAAAGCTAATGTTTTTCTATGTTTGTTAATAATAAAGAAAGGCGTTTGTTATTCTCCATTGTTTTGAATCCCGTGCCTGAGATTCTGACACTGGCGCTACATATTATCTTAAGTAGAAAGTATTTCTCTCCTCCTTTATTATGAGCGTTGCTGAATAATTGAAGACGATACTGATGATTATGTTCTACTCCGAGATATGTTTTAATAATCAAGGATGGTGTTAGCTAGTTTAACAGAGATTTAGTTCTTTCACATAACTTCTTACTATAAATTAACCAAGATATAATTATAACAATTATTCTTAGAATTTAGAGGGTCATGAATATTTGAAATAACAATTTAAATTAAAAATTTAGACTTTATTTTAACAGTGATTTTTTATACTATATAATCTTTATGTTATATTTAATATCTTTCATTATTAACTTCAGAGGTTAATAATAAAATCTGTATATTAAGAAGCGTATTTTCAAAACTATTATCAATTTCTGTCTAACAAGTACCCACATCTTTTGAAAGTTTCAAAATAATTGTGTTTTTATTCTGTTATCATAAAATGAATGTACAAAATCGTTGGCCATTGTTAGAATATTAAGTAGAGGGGTGTCACTAGAGGAGGAATAAGGAATTTGTGTTTTTTCTCGCTCAAGTAGGAGTCCGTGGAGACAGCTTCTCGCCTTATCGTGGTGGATTCATTCATCTTTGACACTGGAATAATATAGATATGGGATTTCTATGTGTCTTAAACATACTAATACAAGAAGCATCGTTAATATTAATCTTGAGAAAAATATATTCTTATTTGACTTTTTAGTTTCAAAATTCTCTACTCTCACAATCATTTTGTATCTTATCAAAACATCGAGATTTTAAATCCCCTTTTTTTCAGCTGTTTGACCATGATATTCTTCTTGGTAAATTTGAGTTTGAAGATCTCAGGATATTTTTGATTTTGAGCGTTAAGAGCCTGGTTTTGAGCTTGAATAGTTTGGATAGCTTTCAATATTTTTTAAAATATTTATAGTAAGTACCATCAATTCTTCACTTTTGACCTGAAGACCAACTTCTGAAACCAAATTTTAACGTTGTGGCTTGACAAAAATAAATTCCGTATGTACCAAGAATATTTAGGACTTTTTTTAGCCAAACATATAAAATTAATTACAAAAAATACAAAAAGAAACAATGTAGAAATACAGAAGTCACAAACTCACCCACTGTAACACAGAACTGGAGAACAGAGATAGAAAAAGAAGGTTGAAGAGTATTCCACGAGGTAAACAAGTTCCGGCGGTAAACAGCAGCCTGAAGAACTTTCGCACCAGCAGATCGCCCTTGCTTGTAGCATACGACGTTGTTTCAATACCCTTACACTTATCTCTTCCGAAGTATATTCTCGGGGAAGGCCTCGAGTCTGATGTCATGTATATATTTTATTATAATGCTAATAGCTGCAATCTTGTAACCTTGTTTTGATGTGGACTGGAAGTCAATAAAGTATATTTTCAATAATCCCTGAGTATATCTTTCCAGAACGCTCAAGTTAGATGAGCCACTCAGCAGAAAACCCTAGTTCTTATTTATCTGCGTAATCTAATATTATTTGCCTATCGGTTCTTCTCAAATTGTTCTACATAGTTCTAGAATGTTCTAAAAGAACAAGTTCTATTCTGGAATGCTTTCCGATTCTACGTAACACTATTATTATCTTCTTTTTTTAAAATTCTTAATTCAGGTATATTGATTTTTTTATCAATTATACAGAGATTAAAACACCCTTTAATTCCATTCCAAATTCTAAAGATAAATTATATATTAAAATAGAAGAAAAAAAACTATCAGATATTCTAAATATATTACAATTCTTGATTTTTTATATTTTCTATCTCTCTCTCTCTCTTTCTCTCTCTTTCCCTAAATTTAAATATTCACGAGTTATCTCACATATAGGTTCAACTATCGCATTATCAAAAATATCCAAAAGGAATTTTGCTTCAAGTAAAGCATTAATTTAGATCAAACCCATTTGGTAATACACGTAAATGAAAAAGTTTCATCCCACACATGAATGTGTTTCGAATACTCCTAGTAAACTAATGATAAGCCTATCTTTAACATTTTCCCAATCAAATCAGAATTTTTTTATCACCGAAAATCTATTTTGACCATTGACCGACCATTAATTAAATATACCTCGAAAATAAAAATTTTCCTCATACTTTAAATATTTTAATATTTTTCTTTTAAAATATTAATCTAATATATTTTCTTTAATATTATTTGTATTTTATTTCAACTTATATTAAAGTCAATGAACCATCTCCAGGGGTATGTTTCTTGTATAATTTTATATTTTACACGATTATACGAGAAGCTTATATAGCCCCCTGGATGCTTTATTAAATGTTAAGTCAGGCGAAGAACCTATATTATATAAAAGTGAAAAAGTAACATAAAATGTAATAAACATTATCATTTTTCATTGTTTGATGGCTCTCTAGTATTAATAGTTTTTAATCTGTATATTTTGTTGAATAAGTCTGAGATATTTTTTGTGTTCCTTTTTTATAACTTGCTCGACTATCGCAGGTCAAATTAACCATCGCTTCAGCCGAACTATTGTATTTTCGGAACAATTATTATTTGATATCAATTTGAAGGTTTTTGATTTTTAAATTTGATATATATACACAGAAATGTCTATTTGTACATTTAAATGTACATTTTATGTACATATGTATATATAAATTCAAAAACATCATAAATAAAATTGCTCAAAAGTTTAATAAAAAATACTTACCACATTTTTCATGCCCTCAGAACTGTTTAAATGGCGTTCACAGTGTGATTATTATTATTTAGTGTTTCAATATTTTTTCATGTTATTTAAACTCCGTAACGAATATAGTGTGACTTCTTTCTCCTAGAAATATCTTATTATTACGTTTGTTTAACGGTATCACACTCTGTTACCAATATTGATAGAATTGATTATATATATCGTTTAGACTGACAAATATTTTTAGGACACGTTTTGCTTTGTCTTATATAAATACCTATGTTTATTCAAATGGTAATCTAGGTGGAGAGTGGTAAGGATGTACATAGTAGCAAGGAGTAGGTAAAGAAAGAGAGAAGATCCGACAAGACTCACGTAAGATGGCGACGAAGAGATCTGGATCCTGATGATTGAAATCAGCCATTTTAAAACTCTACACAGACAGCAAGAGACAATGACAATGAAAACGGTGTTATTGACTTCCAGAGTCAACAGTGAGAAAAATAATATTGTAGCGTGGTTTTTTTTTTGTTATTTACATAATTTTATGTTTTAGATTATATTAGATTTACATAGTTTGACTTGAATTGTGTCATCGTTATATAAATGTGCTTAGCCACAATTTTAGAGGTAGACCCTTGTTACCGAGAATGAAGTTACCTCCCCTCGCGACTATTTTTCAACGCGACACACACAATATAAACAAAATATAGAATATTATAAAAATCGAGATTTTAATTATTCGCATCGGACGAATCCCACTGAGGGTCGTTTGGTTCGATGTCGCATTCCGCCCTGAAGTCGGACAGACGTAGATCTCTCCGACTATTGCCATGTCGAGGAATTACTTCAGAGCAGACCTCTGCCCAGGCGACAGGAAATCGAGGATGTCCTCCCTCTTAGAGGGGAAACAACATATCTTTCTATTAATTGCCGCACTGATACCAGGTTAATTATCTCAATATATTCCCCAGCTATCAGGATAAATACCAAGTGACCTCTGGGAATATTTGTAATGAATTAACGTTCAGTTAACATTTATTACGATAGATGGTGCAAATAATCTTTTTAACAGTTTTGTACATGATCAGTAGCTATCATCTCTATAACCATAGAGAGATTTATTTTAAAACTTCCCATAAAGCAATTCTCTCAAGTATCTATAGTAAAAATAAAGCACCAACACACACCAGAGAGTTGATTGGCCCACAAGACAAAGCTAGCCGAAGCCAATACAATATAAATCAAATGGATTAAAAGAAAGTAGTCCCGCGGAGTTATTTCCGCCGTGGCGAGCTGACCATTTCCGTTTATAACGCACCACCGGGTTTTGCCATCGGGAATGCATCCGCCTCACAAAAAATGTGAGCGTGCCCTGCAATTTTGAAAATTGAAGTTTCTGCATTTTTGACCGATTTCATCCTCGTTCACCTTTTTTCTATTTGTTACAAACCTTTCGACATATTGATTGGCAATTTTACAGGTTGTATCGAATTTTATTAATGGCTGTATTTATTGATGGAGGGTGTATAGTGGTTTACTTATTTTAAGAATACATGCTGTTAACAGAGATAAACATGTTGGATAAACAAGGTTTCTTTTTGTGACAACTTATACAGCAATTACAACAACTAGCTGCACGTATATAAGAGTTTG